TACAAATATTAGCCGGGCATGGTGGCAGGCGTCTGTAATCCCAGCAACTCAGGAAGCTGAGGCAGGAGAATCGCTTGCATCTGGGAGGCGGAGGTTGCAGTGAGCCGAGATCACGCCATTGCACTCCGGCCTGGGCAACAGAGGGACATTCTATCTCAAAAAAAACACAAAAAAACAAAAAACTGTTTTATGACCGGATGCCGTGGCTCACGCCTATAATCCCAACACTTTGGGAGGCCAAGGAGGGTGGATCACCTGAGGTCTGGAGTTCAAGGCCAGCCTGGCCAACATAATGAAACACCATCTCTACTAAAAATACAAAATTAGCTGGGTGTGGTGGCACATGCCTGTAATCCCAGCTACTTGAGAGGCTGAGGCAGGAGAATCACTTGGATCTGGGAGGCAGAGGTTGCAGTGAGTCAAGACTGTACCATTACACTCCAGCCTGGGCAACAAGAGCGAAACTCTGTCTGAAAAATAAATAAGTAAATAAATAAATAGGCTGGGCACGGTGAGTCATGCCTGTAATCCCAGCACTTTGGTAGGCCAAGGTGGGCGCATCACCTGAGGTCAGGAGTTCAAGACCAGCCTGGCCAACATGGTGAAACCCCGTCTCTACTAAAAATAGAAAAAATTAGCTGGGCGTGGTGGCAGGCGCCTGTAATCCCAGCTACTAGGGAGGCTGAGGCAGTAGAATTGCTTGAACCCAGGAGGTGGGAGACAGAGGTTGCAGTGAGCCGAGACCGTGCCATTGCACTCCAGCCTGGGCAACCAGAGTGAAACTCCGTCTCAAAAAAAATTAAAATAAAAAAACAAAATAAATAAATAAAACTGTTTTTACAACTTGTCCAATGAAACAAGTATTAGTACTTCTATCACTACAACCAGAAAACATGTACTGAAAATGAAAATTGAATAAAATTCCTCTATAAAGGTTTAAATGACCTATCAGGTAGCAGAAATGTACTTGAAGTTGTGTTCATCTTCCCAGAATTATGGGTTTAACAACCAAATATTGGTCATAAACTATTTTAGCAATTTAGAACAGTCATCACACACACCCACCCTCACACACACACACACACACACACACATTTAATTTGGAACATTTTATCTCTTCGTGATGAATCATGGAAAGCTTAATAATGGAGGCTTTAAGGCCTCAGGAAGGGCCAGGCAGCCATCAGGGTTCTCCATGAGTCTGTGCCTAATATTGGATTTATATTTTAATATCAGCTTTGTTTCTCTAATTTAGGTGCATAGTATGGTTTATTAAGGTGCATAGTATGGTTTATTAGATGGGTTAGCATAGGTAATTTCAGTTGGACCATGGAATTTATTCAAATTGCACATCTTAACAATTTCCACACTGGCTGATTTAGTATGACAATTTGGCAAAGTATTTTCTTGGTATTCAATTATTTATTTATATTTGAGACAGGGTCTCACTCTGTTGCCTAGGCTGAAGTGCAGTGGTGCAGTCTCAGCTCACTGCAACCTCCCCCTCCCAGGCTTAAGCAATCCTTCCACCTCAGCCTCCCAAGTAGCTGGGACTACAGACACACACCACTATGTCCTGCTAATTTTTGTATTTTTTGTAGAGACAGAGTTTCCTTATGTTGCCTAGGCAGGCCTCAAACTCTTGGGCTCAAGGGATCCGCCTGCCTTGGCCTCCCAAAGTGCTGGGATTTACAGGCACGAGGCACTGCCCCAGCCTTCAATTAATTCTTGTCCTGTTTGGGTTAGCAGTTTTATAAACCAGTCATTCCTTTTATTAGAGTTCTGAGAATTCTTACCTAGTCCAAACGATATGATCCTAAAGTTATGAGAAATCTGTATTTTTTTTTTTTTTTTTTGAGACAGAGTCTCGCTCTGTTGCCCAGGCTGGAGTGCAGTGGTATGATCTCGGCTCACTGCAACCTCCGCCTCCCAGATTCAAGCGATCCTCCTGTCTCAGCCCCCCAATAGCTGGGATTACAGGCACATGCCACCATGCCCAGCTAATTTTTGTACTTTTAGTAGAGACGGGGTTTCACCATGTGGGCTAGGTTGGTCTCGAACTCCTAACCTCAAGCAATCCACCAGCCTTAGCCTCCCAAAGTGCTGGGATTACAGACATGAGCCACTGCACCTGGCCAGAACTGAAGACACAACACTCTAGGATTTTGCTTGCGGAGTTTTCAGAAACTGCATCAGAATTAAGCAATTAACCATGGAAACAACTTAAAATGGGCATAAAGGCATAATAGCTGGGCGCGGTGGCTCACGTCTGTAATCCTAGCACTTTAGGAGGCCAAGGAGGGTGATAAAAGGCCAGGTATGGTGACTCACCACCTGCAATAGCAGTACTTTGCAGGGCTGATGTGGGCAGATAGCTTGAGCCCAGGGGTTCGAGTCCAGCCTGGGCAACATGGCGAATCCCCGTCTTTACAAAAAATACAAAAATTAGCTGGGCATGTTGGTACCTGCCTATAGTCCAAGCTACTTGGGGGGACTGAGGTGAGAAAATCACTTGAGCCTGGAGGTTGAGCTGCAGTGAGCTGTGATTATGCCACTGCACTCCAGCCTGGATGACAGAGTGAGACTCTGTCTCAAAAAAAAAAAAAAAAAAAAAAAAAGAAAAAAAAAAAAAAAAAAAAAAAGTTCAAACAGGACTGAGGGGTAGAAAGGGAAAAAGAGGTAAGTGTTAGGAAAAAGGTGTATTGAAAATCCCTCAGTGGGCCAGGCGCTGAGTTGAGATTGCACCATTGCACTCCAGCCTGGGTGACAAGAGCAAGACTCCCTCTCAAAAAAAAAAAAAAAAAAAGAAAATTCCTCAGGGTTTTCCTAACACTATTTTTATCTTCATTTTATTTATTTGTTTATTTATTTATTTATTTATTTTGAGATGAAGTCTTGCTGTCACCCAGGCTGGACTGCAATGGCATGATTTTGGCTCAACGAAACCTCTACCTCCCAGGTTCAAGTGATTCTCCTGCCTCAGCTTCCCTAGTAGCTGGGATTACAGGCATGCGCCACCATGCCCGGCTAATTTTTGTATTTTTAGTAGAGACGGGGTTTCACCATGTTGGTCAGGCTGGTCTAGAACTCCTGACCTCGTGATATGCCTGGCCTCCACCTCCCAAAGTGCTGAGATTACAGGCGTGAGCCACTGCGCCTGGCCTATTTTTATTTTTAACAGCTGTAATTTTAACTTCATCAGCTATATTAGCATCCGATCTATAAAAATTATTACATTGGAATCAGGCATGGTAGTGTAATCCCTGCGTTTTGGGAGGCTGAGGCAGGAGGATCACTTGTGCCCAGGAATTTAAGGTTACAGTAGTGAGCTATGGTTTCTTCATTGCATTCCAGCCTGGGCGACGGAGTGAGACCATCTCTCTAAATACATAGATATGATTACTTTGGATTTGAGAGTCAGAGAATTTAGAGGAAACTAGGCTGTTGTTTTCACATAATATTTTTCTTTGTTGCTTTTGCCTTTATGCAAAGTTTTCCTTTATCTTTGGAGAGTAGAAAAACTGTGGATTTTTTTTTTTTTTTTGAGACGGAGTCTCACTCTGTTACCCAGGCTGGAGTGCAATGGTGCGATGTTGGCTCACCGAAACCTCCCCCTCCCGGGTTCAAACGATTCTCCTGCCTCAGCCTCCTGAGTAGCTGAGCCACCACGCCCAACTAATTTTGTATTTTTAGTAGAGACAGGGTTTCTCCATGTTTATCAGGCTGGTCTCGAACTCCTGACCTCAGGTGATCCGCCCGCCTCGGCCTCCCAAAGTGCTGGGATTACAGGCGTGAGCCACCGCGCCCGGCTGCAAAAGGCATACTTTATAAAGGTCCAAGGATAATGGAAATAGAAGACATTAATGTAACATGTTCTCGGGAACTAATTAGATACACAAAGTATTTTATCTTTGACTTGTTTCTGGACCTCTGCTTCATTCTGCAACCTGCAGCCAATTACCATGGTGTCCATCTATTATTAGGAGCCTTAAGTAGCTCCTTAATTCACACTTACTCTCTTCAATCGATGTGTCAGACTGTGGGGGCCACTTAATTCCCATTCCAAATTCTTGGGAAAGGAATTTAATTGGGTTGAGCTTAGGTCAGGAGCTTACTGAAAGAGCAATCAACTGGGGCCCGGGGACAGGGTGCACTGTGTGAATGAGGCTTCTTTTTCTGCAAATTTGTCAAGCAGAGGCGGACTGGACTAGCTACATAATTTTGCAGGGCCCTGTGCAAAAATGAAAATGCTGGGCTCCCTAATTCAAAAGTTCCATTATTGTTTCCAAAAGTTTGCAATTGCAGACAATACGGCAATTAATAACCTTGTGTATGTGTACTTTTCCATCGTCGGAGACCTAGCCCGAGTACTATTTTCTGTAGCGAGGCTTTGACGTTCTTTCCTTTTTCTGATGAGCCACAGCATTTATAGTAGGAATTTATTCACATAAAATTTGCTCCTTCGCTAGATACCAGTAATTGGCCTTCTCTAATTGCTTTGGGTATCTCGTTGGGGTTCTGTATGATTGAGCTCCGGGAAACTCAGTCCACCCCTCATTCCAATTATTTTTCACAGCGTCCCAGTTAACACTGGGTAAACGGTAAAATCTTAGATAGTAAGGTTTTTATTATCCTAACATAAACAGGCCTAACATATGTTGTCGTACCTTTCTGTAGGATTAATGGCATATCTTTACAAATGAGAAATACTTTTCACGAGACTGAAACAGCCTGCAACGCCGCCTACATTCAGGGTAAGTACGCGCGTCGGTGAGGTCAGAGACGCTAGACACCTGAGCACTAGGGGACGACCTTCCCTGCTTTCCTGCATTAGTAGGACTTGCCCGGAACCTTTCCTGCGAAATCTGAGGTAGCCCGCCCGGACAACTCCGCTGAACACAACAGGCCAAGAACTAGTAGGTTAACTGTATGCCTGGAATTTCTAGCTCATTCCCGGAGCTACATGTTCCCGGAGCAAATAGCCTTAAATTCTCTTGCTATTTAAAGTCCCTAGTGACGATAACTTTGTTGTACCTCAGCAAAGATCATAATTAATTGTTTCCGAAGAAGTTTATGCTTGATTTTGGTCAGGCATATATTTGGGCAGCCCACCTGAAACGAACAAGGAAGGCGGGGGAAGAAAGCGGAAGCCGCGGGGCCTTCTAAGTCCGAAAGTCTCCGGAGCTTGCGCCAGGCTCTTCGCGGCGTCCACCCCTTAGACGCAAGTTGCTGAAGCCGGTCGGGGAGAAGGCGTTGTTGCCGGAGCTGAGACCGGGCGGTCACAGTCCGCAGGGATGAACCTCGAGTTGCTGGGTGAGAAGGGCTGTGGTTGCGTTATAGAGAAGCGTTGAGTACTGGAAAGGAGGGAACCCAGGCGGGAGGGGAGTCAGGCTGCAACCTTAGGGACACTGGTCTGCTATGGATCATTGGGCACACCTGATGTGGAGCAGCAGCAGGAGGAAGAAGCGCACCTTCTGCCCGAGTAGATTGCATTGCCCCTCCCGAGGCCACTTTCGTATCAGTTATGGAGCGATGGGGACAGACAGTTTGTGACTTAGGTTTGAGTATAAGGATCACAGGTGTTGAAGTAGCCCAGAGCAGCCAGGACCAGAGTTGTTGGAGATGGAATTTGAAGAAGTGAGGCTTGGGATGAAGCTTTGAAGACTTGTCAGGGAATTGGGTTCCTGGACAGGTTAATCTTTTTATAGAAACGAGATGTCCAAGGAGGGGACTTGGAGATCTTCTGGTAGAAGCCTCTCATTGAACGGATGAATAAAGGCTCAGAGGGTAATGGCTAGGCACTATGCAAGTAAATGGCATAGTTGGCACTGGAATCCAATTATCCTAACTTTCTGTTTAAGGTCCTTTAACTAGGGACGGTGTGTAAAACACTGAAGTGTGAAATATGGAGGAAGTTGTCTTTTGTCATCCTCACTTAGAGTCATTTCCTCCTTACCTCCTATCCAGATTATTAAAAAACTGTAGGTCCTTTCTCCTGGACTTTCATTAGGTGACGTTTAGCGTGGTATCCTAGGGGTAACTGAGGTTTTCAAGGACTTCTGCCCGACTTGCTGTTCCTAATGGTTAGGTTTCTCTTTAAAGAAAATCAGAAGATATGTTGTCCAAAGGGCTACAAAGATACATAAAAAATGGTCTTTGCCCTTGAAGAGCTTTTCATTAAGCAGGGAGTTTAAGGTGATTATGTAAAATAGCCGTAGGATATTGCAGAAAGTAGGCAGGCCTGAAAGAGCCATTACCAGTTGCTAAGAATGTTTGGAACAGAGAGTGAATGTCTTTGGGGCAAGGGAAGAAGTCAACCAGGAAAAACAAACCCCCAAAACCTGTGGAGGAGTTGGAGTTTTAAGTTTTTTGTTGTTGTTGTTGTTTTTAAGACAGTCTGGCGCTGTCGCCCAGGCTGGAGGGCAGTGGCATAGTCTTGGCTCACTGCAACCTCCATCTCCTGGGTTCAAGTGATTCTCATGCTTCAGCCTCCTGAGTAGCTGGTACTACAGGTGCGCACTGCCATGCCTGGCTAATTTTTGTATTTTTAGTAGTGATGAGGTTTCACTGCGTTGGCCAGGCTGGTCTCAAACTCCTGGCCCCAAGCAATCCATCCACCTCAGCCTCCCAAAGTGTCCCGCCTTAAGTGGATTTTTAAGGTTGGTAAAATATCAACAGGCTGAAGTATGAAGATGTGGGAGGGATGAATTTTCCTGCCTGGCCAGGTTGTGGATAAAGAGAATGCCAAGGGATGGGATTGGTGCCATCTATTTTGTGTTGGTTCTCGAATGCCCAGCTGAAAAGTTTGGAGTTTTTAGGGAAGGTAGGGTAGATCTATTGAAGGGTTTTGACTTAGTAACTCAGTCAGAGCTGTGAGTCTGTAAGGTTTGTCTGACAGCGATGTGGAGTTCAGTTTTGGAGGAGTGTAAAACCAGTTTGGAGGGGTAGATTACATGAGTGATAAGGAAGGCCTGAGCTAGGAAATAGAAAAGACGTTGAGGAGGTAGGGATGACAAATAGATTGCATGTAGTGGGATGAGTAAGAGAGTTACGTGAAAAATGGTGAGAGCAAATAATGATGCTATTGATAAAGTGTAAGGACATTGGAAAAAGACAGCTTTGGAGATGTTGAATGTGGTCTAGGGGTCAGGAGACAGGTTTGGATTTATGGGAGAGATTTGTAATCTTACAGATGGGCTCATTGAAACCTTGTGAATAGATCGAGGCATGATTAAGGGAAAAAGTGGGAGGGGGAGAAAAGAAAATTGCCAAGCACACAATCTGTAGTTAGGGGTTAAGAGGAGGAATAAATGAAGATAATAAGTTAGCTAACAGTTATAAAGTACTTTCTCTGAGCTAGGCAGATTTTCAAGTGCCTTCCATGTATTAATCTATGTAGAGGAAGAAGAGAGTACAGATTGGTGTGGTATCTTCATAGAAGCCAATCAGAGCAGCTGAGTCTGAGGGCTTAGAATGGGTTGCTCTGATTAGTCCTTTGGCAGCTTGGAACAGAAGCCAGATTACAGTGATTTTAGAATGATGTGGGAGACAAGGGCAAAAGGTTGACCCTTATTTTTAAAAACTTAAGGATGGAAGAAAGGTGATGACACTAGCACTTTGAAAGAGTAGCAGGGACTTGCAAAAGGCTTTTCTTGAATGATACAGAAGATTCATTAGGATAAAACTTAGGAAGGAATATTTATTTTTATTTATCTTTTGAGACGGAGCCTTGCTTTGTTACCCAGGCTGGCGTGCAGTGGCACAATCGACTGACCACAACTTGCGCTTCCCAGGTTCAACCGATTCTCCTACCTCAGCCCTCCTGAGTAGCTGGGATTACAGGCACCTAACGCCACACTTGGCTGTATTTTTTTGTAGTTTTAGTAGAGACTGGGTTTCACCATGTTGGCCAGGCTGGTCAGGAACTCCCGATCTCAAGTGATTTGCCCACCTTGGCCTTCGAAAGTGCTGGGATTACAGGTGTGAGCCACCGTGCCCAGCCAGGAAGGAATATTTAGCATTGGAAGGTTAGACAAATTAAAGAAGCCTGGGTCCGAAAGATAACAATCTCTGAAAAATGACTGTATTTTAAAGTGAGAAAGTTAATGACTACAGATAAAAGGAAAGGAACAGAAGTAATGTGATTGTGGAAGCATATTGAAGGACATCTGGCCAGATGAAGGAAATGAATGACAATGTATTTTTAAGGTGGTTACTCAAGTGGCTCATAGGTAGACACTAGTTTTACTTCTGCAACCACTTTTTGAGCCCCTGCTGTGTGCACTGGAGATACAGTTAAATAAGATCATTTGTCAAACTTATTTTTACCACAAATCACAGTAAGAAATATGTATTCTATCACAGTTCACTATATGTACATACACACACACGTGTAACTAAATTTCTTAGGATTATAGTTAATCCTTGTTATGTTCAGTGTCCTCTGATACTTTCTTTTCTTTTTTTTTTTCCCCCCTTTAGACGGAGTCTTGCTTCTGTCGCCCAGGCTGGAGTGCAATGGCATGATCTTGGCTCACTGCAACGTCCGCCTCCTGGGTTCAAGCAATTCTCCTGCCTCAGCCTCCCGAGTAGCTGGGATTACAGGCATGTGCCACCATGCCCGGCTAATTTTTTTATTGTGTGTTTTTAGTAGAGACGGAGTTTCACCATGTTGCCTCAGCTGGTCTCAAACTCCTGACCTCGTGATCTGCCCGCCTTGGCCTCCCAAAGTGCTGGGATTACAGGGGTGAGCCACTGCACCTGGTTGATATTTTCTAATCTGTTGAAACACTTGTTTCAACTCACTAAATTAATGTATCCATTTATGGTGGGTTGAGTCCTACTGTTTGAAAAACATTGAAACATTGAAATAAGATACCAGTTTTGCCCTGGTAAATAGAGCTAAGAGGAGAGACAAACAAGTAACTGTGTATCATATAGAACCACAATAAATGAATGAGCTATGGGAAACCAGCTAAAAGCAATTACAAGCAGTTGAGGCCAGGTGCAGTGGCTCACGCCTGTAATCCCAGCACTTTGGGAAGCCAAAGCGGGTGGATCACCTGAGGTCAGGATTTCAAGACAAGCCTGTCCAAGATAGTGAAACCCTGTCTCTACTAAAAATACAAAAATTAGCCATGCATGGCAGTCCGTGCCTGTAATCCCAGCTACTCAGGAGGCTGAGGCAGGAGAATCACTTAAACCTGCGAGACAGAGGTTGAGGGGAGTCGACATCATTGCATTACAACATGGGGGACAAGAGCGAACTCTGTCTCAAATAAATACATATATGGATATATATATGGATATCTATATGGATATATATATGGATATATATACACACACATACAGAAAAAAGTCTCCCCATCCCAAATTTTAAGTGGGGTTTATCCTTTTATACCTTTTTCTTTGCTCATATAAACACATTTACACATAAATTTGTTTATTTTTATTATTTTTTTTTTTGAGACAAGAGTTTCCCTCTTGTTGTCCAGGCTGGAATGCAATGGTATGATCTCAGCTCACTGCAACCTCTGCCTCCCAGGTCCAAGAGGTTCCCCTGCCTCAGCCTCCGGAGTAGCTGGGATTACAGGCATGTGCCACCACGCCTGGCTAATTTTGTATTTTTGGTAGAGACAGGGTTTCTCCATGTTGGTCTGACTGATTTTGAACTCCCGACCTCAGGTGATCCACCTGCCTCGGCCTCCGAAAGTGCTGGGATTACAAGCGTGAGCCACCACATGGGCTTTTTACACATAAATTTGTAAGGACTAGGCCGGGCGTGGTGGCTCACGCCGGTAATCCTAGCACTTTGGGAGGCTGAAGCAGGTGGATACCTTGAGGTCAGAAGTTTGAGACCAGCCTGGCCAACATGGCCAAACCACATCTCTACTAAAAATACAAAATTAGCTAGCCGGGCATGGTGCCATGTGCCTGTAATCCCAGCTGCTGCTCGGGAGGCTGGGGCAGGAGAAGCGCTTGAACCTGGGAAGCAGCTGCTGTGGTGAGCCAAGATCGTGCCACTGCACTCCAGCCTGGGTGACAGAGCGAGACTCTGTCTCAAAAAAACAAACAAACAAAAAAAACCAAGCTAGTCAAGAAAAAAAAAACAAAAATACCCCCCAAAAAACTGAAAGAAATAAAGAGAATTTCATGTTTAATCAACTACTATTTGCTGTCACAACCTAAATGCTGTTATTAGGAAGGGGTGTGATCGCTGCTTTTAGTAAAGGTTTCAAAGTTTCAAAGAGTAATTGTGATAATTTGACTGATATGAATTGACTCTTGCCCTTCCTTGCTCTTTTTTTTTTTTTTTTTGAAACGGAGTCTTGTTCTGTCAGCCAGGTTGGAGTGCAGTGGCATGATCTCAGCTCACTGCCACCTCCGCCTCCCAGGTTCAAGTGATTCTCCTGCCTCAGCCTCCTGAGTAGCTGAGATTACAGGTGCACACCACCACACCCGGCTAATTTTTGTATTTTTAGTAGAGACGGGATTTCACCATGTTGGCCAGGCCGGTCTCGAACTCCCTTGTGATCTGCCCGCCTTGGCCTCCCAAAGTGCTGAGATTACACGCATGAACCACCGAGCCCGGCTCCTTGCTCTTATGTTAGTAAATATGGAAATAAATTGTGAAATGCCCAAAGGGTATGATGGGAAAGACTATTGCTAACTTGGATATGTCAGCAGTTGTCAAACTTTTTAGTATCGGGATCCCATTATACTTTTAAAAAGTAGAGGACCGCCAAAGAGTTTTTGTTTATGTAGGTGATATCTACCTACCAGTGTTTACCAATTTAGAAGTTAAAACTGAGATAGTATTTTTAAAGCACATTATTTAGAAATAACCATAATAAATCCATTACATGTTTATGTAAGTAGTTACTTTGTTTTCAAAAACAAAGTATTTAGTGAGGAAAATGCCACTGTTGTGACATTTTTACAACTGTCTTGAATGTTTGCCTGAATAGAAGTTGGGGGACTTCTCATATCTGCTCCTGCCTTCACTCTGTTGCAGCATCCCAGGTCATATAGTCTCAGGAAAGCTCATCTGTATACTTTTGAGTAAACAAGTCATCTTAGGAGATCTTGAAAATCCATGTGGCCTCATGGAATGCCTGAAAGGGCGTCATATCCTCGTTTCATTTTCATTTTGTCAGCCACTACTATACACTGTTCATGAGTTGTATGATCCTTGCTATGTGGTACATGTTCCATCAATTCTTTCTTTGCTTTGTTGCAGAGTCCTTTGGGCAGAACTATCCAGAGGTAAGAGTATAGTATTGCCGTGATTTTAGGAACATAGTAACTTGTGGATGTTTATGTTAGAACAGAAAATACTTTTTGATCCTTGTGTTTTGACAAAGAAGCATTAAGTGTGATAATATATCTTTTGCTATGATAAGGAACTAGTGTATAATTTTGATCAGGGAGGAAATAGGCAGTGTGGGCTAGAAATCTTATCATGATGTTGTAATCTTACAGTTCATTTTCCTTTAAATAAAAGAAAAACTTTCATTGAAGGATTTTTCACAAACAACACCATCGTAGATTTTTTTGTGTGCTTTTCTTGTTTTGATCAATGTTTTTACGTAGTAAAGCAAAATGTATGCTATACATGTGCTTTGCTTTTTTAAGTGTAAAACTATTTTGTAACACTTGAATGTTTGAGGATAGACGTTGTGGTTATTTTAAATATCTTGGTATTGATGTGAAATAATTTGACTTCTCTAATGTTATGCTTTGTAGGCTATTCCAGGGTTTTTTTTTTTAATTCTTAAAAAAAATTCTTTTAAATTCCTTTTGTTTTAAATTCTTGGAATAAATTCCCAGAATTATGATGACTGCATCAATAGATATGACTTTTTAAATACTTCTGTTATATTTTGCCCATTTGCCCTCCAGAAAGTTTATACAAAGTTATAGTAGTGATGTAAGGGATTGATCACATCTGTTTCCAGAATCTGTGGTTAGCTTTAATAAACGTTTCTTCATTTTGGCTATTTTAGTAGATATAAGAAGACACAGAGAGATTATTTTGGTATACAGTGTAATTTATATTCAATAAAAGTATCACAAGTGATAAAGAACCTTTAGGAAATAATTTGGATACCTGGCTATTGTTGTCTCTATTCTTGTATTTGTTTCAATTTTTAGGAAGCTGATGGAACTTTGGATTGTATCAGCATGGCTTTGACTTGCACCTTTAACAGGTGGGGCACACTGCTTGCAGTTGGCTGTAATGATGGCCGAATTGTCATCTGGGATTTCTTGACAAGAGGCATTGCTAAAATAATTAGTGCACACATCCATCCAGTGTGTTCTTTATGGTAAGACATTTTTAAATTAATATTTAAATATGAGTTAGGAGAATGAATGATGACTACATATTTGCAAATCTCATTGTGGATATTTTAATACTTAGATTTTAAAATATTCAGCCATTAGTAATACAGTTTATCATGGTTTATGTAGATCCTGAGTCCATGCTGTCCTTGAAGCACCTTTCTTGGGAGAAATTCATTGTATTATGGATCTGTGTCAGGTGCTGAGAATATCTCAATACTGAAATGAGATATTTTCAGATTGTAATTGTAGTATAATTGTGTTAGAATAAAAAATCTCGGTTAGGACAGAAGCTTGGAAGTCATCGAGTCCAATTTTGTCCAGGTTATTGAATTTCAGTAATTTTAGTGATCACAAGTGTGACTATTCCTTCAATGAAATATAGTTATTAAGGTTTTATAGCAGATGTAAAAACAATTGAAATCTGCTGTTACATGAATTCCCATTGATTTCACTCTTACTCTGAAACTATTTGCTTCAGAAAATTTTATTTTGGGGCAGCATTTTTTTTAAATGAACTTGGGGCCAAAAAAAAGGACCTAATCTGATCAAAGTTAAGTCTATCTCCTTTTGTCTAAATGGTATTATAAAGCATTAGATTGGGAGGAGGCTTGAATCACAGTAAAGTTTGGCCAGTAATGTACTGGTGACTTGGGCCAAAACTTTTCTCTTGTATCTAATAATCCAGGAAGCACTGGCCCGGATCTCTTAGGTTCCTTCCACTGCCTTTCTGTTTCTTTTTTGTTGTATTCTTGCAATAAAGATACAGGCATGGTGGCTCATGCCTGTAATCTGAGCACTTTGGGAGGCTGAGGCAGGTAGGTGACTTGAGGTCTGGAGTTCGAGACTGGCCTGACCAACATGGTGAAACCTCATCTCTACTAAAAAAAAAATTAGCCAGGCATAGTGGCGGGTGCCTGTAATCCCAGCCACTTGGGAGACGGAGGCAGGAGAATTGCTTGAACCCCGGAGGCAGAGGTTGCAATGAGCTGAGATCCACTGTACTCCAGACTGGGTGACAGAGTAAGACTCCGTTTCAAAAAAAAAAAAAAAAAGATTTAAATAGATACACATGTTTTTAACAGTTTTAAGAGGTAGGGGTGTGTGTGTGTGTGTGTGTGTGTGTATATGTATGTGTTTCACATAATATAAAGTTTAGAGTGTACAATTCACAGGTTTTTATATATTCAGAGTTGTGCAACCATCATCATAATATAATTTTAGAACTGGCTAGATGCATTGGCTCATGCCCGTAATCCCAGAGCTTTGGGAGGCTGAGATGAGAGGATTCCTTGAGCCCAGGAGACCAACACAGTGAGACCTTATCTCTACAAAAAGTAAAAAAATTAGCTGCGTGTGTGGTGCACATCTGTAGTCCTGGCTACTTAGGAGGCTGAAGTGGGAGAATCACTTGAGCCCAGGAGTTCTAGGCTATAATGAGCCATGATTGTGCCACTGCACTCCAGTGCCTGGGTGACAATAAACCTTGTCTCTTTAAAAAAAAAAAAAGAACTCTTACCTATTAAAAATATGTGTTTTTATTATATAGTAATATATACTTATTCTAGAAAATCATGGAAAATAAAACAGAAATAACTAGTATTTTCTGTAGACCTCCTAACCAGATACTACTACTTTGTATGTATAGATTTTTGTTGTTGTTGTTGTTTCTGAGACAGGGTCTTGCTCTGTGGCCCAGGCAGGAGTGCCGTGGCTAGTCACAGGCATGATCACAGTTCACTGCAACCTTGAAATCCCAGGCTCAAGTGATCCTCCTGAGTAACTAGGTCTATAGATGTGCGCCACCATGCCTGGCTAATTAAAAAAATTTTTTTTATAGAGACAAGGTCTTGCTATGTTGCTTAGGCTTGTCTTGAACTCCTGGCTTCAATCGATCCTCCCACCTCAGCCTCCCAAAGTGCTGGGATTACAGTTGTGAGCCACCACGTCTGCTCAGTTTCTAGATAATTTTTTTAAGCATAGTTTGTAACTGTGCTATGTTCTATATTTTGCTTTTCCCTCCTAATACTGTCTAGACATTTTTCTGCTTGAGTAGCCTTTAACAACTTTTTAAATGACTGTGTATTGTCTGATAAACCATAATTTACTTAACCATTTTCTGTTTTTTTTTTTTTCTCGATTACATAATGTTTAGTGAATGTCTTTGTGCCATAGTTTTTCTTATATATTCATTCATTCATTCAGTAGGTGTTGACCATGAGTTATGTACCAGGTGCTGTGTTAGGCTCTGGGGACACAAAAACAAATGAGAAATTCTTGATGATTAGTCCCAAAAAGCATCTGAGATGCCCAATGGGCATTTGGTCTATGATTTCTCATTACAGTAGACTTCCAGAAGTGTGTTATTAGTCAGACAAAGGATATAAAGTGAGAGATTTTTCAACCGTTCCCTCCAACATTTTTAACATTTTAAAATCACAAAACCTATACTTGATAATTTAAAAGTTGTTGTTTTTTTTTTTTTTTTTGAGACAGAGTCTTGCTCTGTTGCCTGTGCTGGAGTGCAGTGGCGCAATCTTGGCTCACTGCAACCTACGCCTCCCAGTTTCAAGTGATTCTCCTACCTCAGCCTCCTGAGTAGCTGGGATTACAGAAGCATGCCACCACGCCCGACTAAGTTTTGTATTTTTAGTAGAGATGGGATTTCACCGTGTTAGCCAGGCTGGTCTCGACCTCCTGATCTCAGGTAATCTGCCCTCCTTGGCCTCCCAAAGTGCTGAGGTTACAGGCGTGAGCCCCTGCACCTGGCCGTTAAAAATATTAATACGCAAAGTACAAAATGAAAGCCCTTTGTCTACTTCTTGGGGTAACCACTGTTAAAGAGTGTGGAATATATCCTGTCTATAAGATATCTATATATGTGGAAAAAATACATATATCCACATAATATGTTTTTAAACAAAAATAAATATATTTTGTTCTGTAGCTTGCTTTTCCACTTACCATATAGTGGATATTTCTCTGTGTCTCATTATTTTAAATAGTTGTGTCTATAGAGTATTGCATAGTATACATGCATAATAGATTTAACTGTTCCTTATTTGAGCATATTAGGGAACAAATTTTACCAAGAGAAGTTCTGAGTAGACCTGATAGCTAACTTCAACTATTAGTAAAGTTGATATATGAAAGAGAGAAAAAAATGGCCCAGGATGTAGAAGCAGAACTGGTAGGTACTGGCTGGGCGCAGTGGCTCACGCCTGTAATCCCAGCACTTTCGGAGGCCGAGGCTCACCAATCACTTCAGGTCAGGAGTTTGAGACCAGCCCCTACAACACGGTGAAACCCCGTCTCTACTAAAAATACAAAAATTAGCCAGGCATGGTGATGTGCGCCTGTAATCCCAGCTACTTGGGGGGCTGAAGCAGGAGAATCGCTTGAACCCGGCATGTGGAGGTTGAAGTGAGCTGAGATCTACCTGGGCTACAGAGTGAGACCCTGTCTAGAAAAAAAACCCCAAAAAACAAAACAGAATTAGTAGGTAGTGAACAGAAGTTAGGTATAGGGAAACAAAAGTTAACTCCAAGTAGAGAGGAGCTCCCAAGCAGAGGTGCTGTAGATGGGATTAACTGCCCAGGAGAGAGCTATCCGAGAGCTGTTCTTGCCTGAGCTTGCCACCCCCGTTTTTAGGATGCTGCAGAAGAAATTCAAGCACTGGATGGGGGCCATAGGTAGACTTTAGCACATTAGAATCAGTAAAGACGGCCGGGCGCGGTGGCTCAAGCCTGTAATCCCAGCACTTTGGGAGGCCGAGACGGGTGGATCACGAGGTCAGGAGATCGAGACCACCCTGGCGAACACGGTGAAACCCTGTCTCTACTAAAAAATACAAAAAACTAGCCGGGCGAGGTGGCGGGTGCCTGTGGTCCCAGCTACTCGGGAGGCTGAGGCAGGAGAATGGCGTAAGCCCGGGAGGCGGAGCTTGCAGTGAGCCGAGATCACCACTGCACTCCAGCCTGGGCGACAGAGCAAGACTCCGTCTCAAAAAAAAAAAAAAAAAGAATCAGTAAAGACCCATCTGTCTTTGGGAAAGAAGCTGTGAGAAAATATGATAATTCCTAATTCTTGAGCTTATAGAATTTGGAATTGAAGAATAAATTATTTTTTTAGTTTTCACTTTTCTTTATAACTTAATTTTTAGTTAGATTTCCCTCCATTATGACAGAAATACAAGCTTGCTGTGAAAGAAAACAAAAATTATAGTGCAGTAGCAGTAGGTTTTTTTTTTTTGTAACTCACCCACTTCCTAGTACAGAAGAGTTTAGAGGGAAAACGGAATCATAGCTAACATTTTGTTCTATAGTCTATTTGTGCTAACAGGCCTATAAGAATAGCAACAAAACCTGTTCCTTTTTTCTCCTCACTCTCAGTCTTGTGCCATTCCCAGTAGACTTCTATTTTTGGGGGCTATTTCTTCTGCTGTTTAGCTTCGTATTTCTAATATAATGTGTATTGCTTTTTCGTTAATTTCAGAAATTGAGTTTCCTGTTACAGTGTATTTGAATTTTAACTTACCCTTTACCCTCCCATCATCCACCCTTTTACCCTCCCATCATCATCATCATCATCATCCATCCAGCTATTGGCTTTTTTTTGTGCACCTTTGCATTTTAACACCTTTAGGCCTCTTCAGAGTTGACGTTCTCTAGAAGGACTCACTAATTGCCTGGCTATAGATATTCTAGAGCCAGTAGAAGAGAGACACCAGAGTCCTTTTGTGTGCAGGCTTTAACTTAATCCCTCTATATTTATAACCTTAGCTTACCCCTGCCTTCCTCTGTTCCTGAGTCCTGAGTCCTGAGTCTGGGAATATATTTATTTTGTCTCTGATATAAATATTTTTTTTGAGCACTTATTATGTACCAGGCATTGAGTACTTATTATGTGCCAGGCTAAAAGTTTTTTATGTATTAATTTAAATTATCTCAACAGCCTTCTGCAGGTAGATACCATTTTTATTCATGTGTTATAGATGAGGAAATTGAAGCCCATAAAACTTAAGTAACTTGCCTAAGATCACACAGCTAGGAGGTGGTAATGTCTAGGCTTGAGCAGAAGTCTGACTTTTGAGCCGTGTTCTTAACCATGGAGATTATATTGCCTGCTGAGTTTCTCAATAGCATCTCCTCTTGATTTCAAAACCTGGATAAAGTATAGGTTTTGGGTGACTTTTTTACTTGTTCCATTTTCTTTTTGTTTTTGTTTCCTGCCTTCCTATGGGCTACTTGGACAAGTTTTTAGAATTCCATTTTGCTTTATCTATAGTGTTTTTGAGTGTATACCCTTGTGTAGCTTTAGTGGTTGCTAGGTTATCATACATTTATAACCTACCATAGTCTACTGGTGATAAGTTGTATTGGTGAATATTTTACCAGTTCAAGTGAAGCGTAGAAACCTTACCTTCCTGTTGTCCCCTTGTCCTTTCTTGTATATAATATAATTGTCTTAAATATTTGCTTTACGTACATTGAGACCCACATAAGACAGTGTTAAAATATGTGTTTCAAACATCAAAACTCGAAAAGAGAAAAAGTAATTTTTTTTTTTTTTTTTTGAGATGGATTCTTGCTCTGTCACCCAGGCTGGAGTGCAGTGCCGTGATCTCGGCTCACTGCAACCTCTGCCTCCCAGGTTCAAGTGATTCTCTGACCTCAGCCTCCCGAGTTGCTGGGACTATAGGCGTACACTACTATGCCCAGCTAATTTTTGTATTTTTAGTAGAGATGGGGTTTCACCATGTTGGCCAGGATGGTCTCGATCTCTTGACCTCATGATCCCCCTGCCTTGGCCTCCCAAAGGCTGGGATTACAGGCGTGGGCCACCGCACCCGCCCTTTTTTTTTTTTTTTTTTGGAGACAGAGTTTTGTTCTTGTTACCCAGGCTGGAGTGCAATGGCGCGATCTCGGCTCACTACAATCTCTGCCTCCTGGTTTCAAGCAACTCTACAGCCTCAGGCTCCCAAGTAGCTGGGATTACAGGCATGTGCTACCATGCCTGGCTAATTTTTGTATTTTTAGTAGAGATGAGTTTTCACCATGTTGGCCAGGTTGGTCTCGAACTCCTGACCTCAGGTGATCTGCCTGCCTTGGCCTCCCAAAGTGCTTGGATTATAGGTGTGAGCCACCACACCTGGCTGAGAAAAAGTAATTTTATCTACCCGTATATTTATAGTCTTCATTGTTCATTCTTCCTTCCTTCTAAACCCTTCATTTAATCTTTTCTGAACCATTAGGTAGCCAACTTAAGAGTATGTCTGCTAGCAACAAATGTCTCAGTTTACCTGTTTATTCCTGGGATGGCAGTTCTTTTCTTTAGCGCTTGAAAAACGTGCCACTTCCTTCTGGCCTCCGTGGTTTCTGATGAGAAATCCCTTTTCGTTCACGTTGTTGTTCCTCTATAGATAAGGCATCATTTTTCTCTTGCAGCTTTTGAGAGTTTTTCGTTGTCTTTAGTTTTCAGAAGTTTGTCTGTATTTCTTGGAGTGGATTTCTTTAGGCTCATCCTAGTTGATGTTCTTGAATCTGTAGGTTTTATATCTCTTGCCAGATTTAGGAAAATTTCAGCCATTATATCTTCAAATACCTTAACATCCACGTCTGTATTCTCTCCTTCCAGGATTCTGATGACATGAATATTAGATCTTTTGTTATAGTTCTGAGGCTCTGTGTATGTGTATCTATAGATACACACACACATATATATGTATACACATATGTATACACACAGACACATCATATATATGTCTGTTTTCTCTCTATTGAGATTGGGTAGTTTTTATTCCATCTTCCAGTTTGCTGATTCTTTCCCTTTTTTTCCTCCATTGGCTGCTGAATTCATCTATTGAGTTTATTTCTGTTACTGTATTTTTCAGTTCTAAAATTCCCATTTGATTCTTCTCTGTATCTTCTATTTCTTTGCTAAGATTTTCTGGGTTTTTTTCCCCATCTGTTTCAGGCATGTTCATAATAGTTTGTTGAAGCATTTTTATGATGGCTACATTATAATCCTTGTCAGATAATTCTAACATTTATGTCATCTCTGTATTAGTGTCTATTGATTGTCTTTTCTTACTCAAGTTGAGATTTTCTTTGTTCTTGAGTTGACAAGTGATTTTCATTTGAAATCTGGGCATTTTGGGTATTATGAGACTGTAGATCTTATTTATTTTTTATTTTTTCTTGAGACAGTCTCACTCTGTTGCCCACGCTGGAGCTCAGTGGTGCCATCTTGGCTCACTGTAACCTCCGCCTCCCAGGTTAAAGCAATTCTCCTGCCTCAGCTTCCCGAGTATCTGGGACTACAGGCGCATACTACCATGCCTGGCTAATTTTTTGTATTTTTAGTAGACAACGGGGTTTCACCATATGGCCAGGCTGGTCTCAAACTTTTGGCCTCAAGTGATTTGCCTGCCTCGGTCTCCCAAAGTGCTGGGATTACAGGTGTGAGCCATTGCGCCCGGCCTATAGATCTTATTTAAATCTTCTAGTTTAGCAGGCCTCCTCTGATACTGCACAGGGTAATGGAGTGTGCCATCTTGTTATTGCCAGAGGTGGGTGAAAGTCCAGGTTTCTTCTTACTTGGCCTCGTTACTGCTGGGGGGGATTGAAAGTTTAGGCTCTCTACTAGATCTCTGCTGATAACATCCTGTCTGGGAAGGATAGGAGTTCCTTGTTCCTTCTCTCTGTGTGTCCTCTGACACCATGGTGGTGCAACCTCATTACTGCTGGTGGTAATGCAAATCTGATTCCCTACTGAGCCTTCTTGGACACCACCCCAGTGAGGTGGGGAGGGTGCCTTGTTATAGCTGGATAAAGGTGAAGTCTAGGCTATCCGCTTGAACCTTGCTAAGAGGAGGATTTGCAGTTCTTTTCTGTGATGTTTGGCTGGAGTAGATTGGTTATTGTCTTGAAGTTTTCTGTCTTGCCAGGCTGTCCTTTTCTGGTCCCTTAGCTGGGGAAAGCAGACTCTTCTTGGGGATTTTTGTGTGTGTCCACTAGCATTACCAGGTTGTTGGCTTTTCCTTCACCCAGAACGGAGAACATGAGGCAGAAAGAAAATTCCGGGATTTCACTGTTGTGTCATCCTTAAGATTCTGCAGTCTCTGGCTTGTCTGTCCTTTGTCTACCTTTCAGAACCCTTTTTGTCTCTTTTATATGTGATGTCCAGTGTGTTTATCTGTACTTAGCAGGAGGAATTAATTCTTTCTCAGTTTCTTTTAAAATTATTTTAAATAACAGATACTTACCATTTTGTTTTGTTTTGTTTATACCATGATGGTGCAACTTCTGAGATAACTTCAGAAAGTTCAAATATATCAACCTTAAAGGCCAGCTGATTTTTAGACTCTTCTAAGATGTTTTTAATCTCTTATTTCACTGAGTCACTTTATAGTTTTATCTTGAAATATTATGAGCTTCCATTACTAGATAATAAAATGTCATGAAAACATTCTTATTTATTGCCTAGTTGGAAAAGCTTGTGGATTTGAGTATAAGTAGAACAAAACCAGAAACATTGTTGACCTGTGCAGTTGCAGTAGTGTGTGACTTACACAGTTTATTCCTGAGAGTGGTACGGTATACATAGAATATGTGCTAAATTACCCCTGTTTTTCCTCAGCTGGAGCCGAGACGGCCATAAGCTCGTGAGTGCCTCCACTGATAACATAGTGTCACAGTGGGATGTTCTTTCAGGCGACTGTGACCAGAGGTTTCGATTCCCTTCACCCATCTTAAAAGTCCAGTATCATCCGCGAGATCAGTATGTCTAAGCTATTTCTCTCCTGGGGTGGGGTCTAATTCTATATGGACTATATGGAATGGGCTCATGATAATTTTAGTTACGGTTTTAGAAGGCAAATACGCATCTCTTCAAAACTTCTACATAAAATAATCTTTCTATCTAGGTTGGCTCTACTGAATACATTTCTTTCTTTCTTTCCTTTTCTTTTTCTTTTTCTTTTTTTTTTTTTTTTCTTTGAGACAGGGGGTTCCTGGCCTCTGTACCCAGGGTTGGAGTGCAGTGGCGCAATCTTGGCTCACTGCAACCTCCTGGCTCCGGTTCTAAGATTTCTCCTGCCTCAGCCCTCTTCAGTACCTTGGGGCTGCCAGCGCCATGCCACCAATGCCCCCAAAAAGCTAATTTTTGAGTATGTTAGTAGAGAACC